GAAACTGATAATAAATTTCCAGGAAAGTGGACAATAATCCCTTCTCTGTGAGGTTGATTTTCCACAAGTGGCAGACTAAAAATGCAGCTTACTCCATAGTAATGTTTGAAAAGTAAGAAAGTAAGCACATGTTATTCCGTGGGGACATACAGTGCACTCTGATCATATATCAGTGATTCTTCCATCAGCGCAGTGATCTCTCCAGGGAGATAGAGCGAGAGCCTTTAATGCCGCCTTCAATTTGTTTGTGACCCGTTGACAATCTGGAATATTGTATTTGTCTCGACGTGCTTGTGACAATTTTCAACACGTTAAATGATAAAGGGACAATAAAGACATTCAGAACTAAATACAAAACAAACAAAAAATGATAAACCAGTTTCAACCAGTGAAATTGTTGCTTTATTATCTCTGCATCAGTAAAATAATAATGATTCTGTTTTGAGGATTTTATAGTAGAACTCGAGAGGGGATTTTTCTAAAAAACCACCTAGCCTTGAGTACACGTTCATTACCACAGTTTGAGAACCCCTGCTCTAAAAGACGGCCTCTCCATTTCCGCAGACAAACATTCAGGTATAGTGTGTGTTAAGTGCACGTTGCCATAACAGCTGTCCTCAAATATGTGTCTGGCTTCACAGGAACGACCCGATCTGTTCTGACGCCAGGACAAAGACGGCACAATATATTCTGTGATTGTCCCTCCCCTCCTCCCTCCTCTCCTCCCTCAGTACTACAATAGAGTCAGATGAATGGATGTACTGTCTTATCTCTATTGTAGTGAGTTGTAAACAGTTGTCATCACATTTAATCAAAGTTTAAATCAGCTGTGTGGAGATATCAGAATGAGAATATTAACACAAGTGCAAACTGGCATCGAGGCCTCGGGGGAAGTTTGGGGAGGGTGCGAGAACGACCTGGAGATTTATACATGAGAGAGTGTGGTGAGAAAGTCTTGGAAGAAATGGATTTTTGACGTTTATTAACATTTATGTGTGTTTGTTATTATTGTATATTTCTTTAAGTTGATTTGTGTTTGATTCTCTGATCTGTCGTTGGTGAATCTACAACTCTGTAAAGGCCTCCGAGACGACAGCTGTTGTGTTTTAGGGCCATGGAAAAATAAATTTGACATTGCCTTAAATGAGTTTTTCCCCCCCAAGATAAACATTTAGTTTGTTAAAACAGAAAGAGTCTTAAAATGTAAAATGTTGTCTCCAAATCAGACCACCACATACGGTCTTCTTTGTATGAGAAAACATGTTTGCATACTTGTAAGAAAGAGCCCTATAAGTCACTATTTGATGCTTTGGGCTGAGAGCTTTCACTTTTCTGTCATGAAAGACCAAAAATACATGTATGTGAAAACTTGTGATAGAAGCAAACCTGTTTCAGAGCAAGAAACTAGTGTCATGGATTACATTTAAAAAAGTGGTTTGAAAGAAAAAAGTACCCCAACTTTAGTGTTCAAAGACACCAGCGCACTCAACCTTCTAAGCTGCAAAGTATTCATTTTTGTTGAATAGTTGTTATGAGCATAGGCCCTGGGAGTCGCTCTTTGACTCTTTAAGCTCAGAGCTCTTTTTTTCCCCCTTTTCTGTCTGAAAAAGCAGATCTAAAGATGTGACAGTTTTGAGAATGGGAAACCAGATTAAAATGTACATACTTCCTATTTATTCTTAGTTTTTGTGGTTTGAAAGTTAGGAACCCCAGCTTTAAATATAGGACATCATTTAAGTTTGATGAATTTAGATTGCGATATAAACAAATGTCTATGTCACAAGTTTATAGAAAGCATTTTAAATATAGTTTATGATCTCACCACCGTCTTCAAACTAATTATCCAGGCAGAAAATAGATAAAAACCAATAATCAGCTAAATATTTTAACTGTTATGACACACAAACATCCCAAATGGTAATGTGATGATAGATTGTTGTATTGGTGCCCGACTACACACATAACTATCACCATGACAACCACATGTGTTTTTCATTATGATGGCCTAAAGCAGTAGCTCTCTCCCAAGTCTACTTTATGAATAAAGTTAGATACACATGTTGCAATACAGAAAAAAACAGAATAAGCTGTGTGTTTTTGTGATTGTGATGTTCTGCCCACACAAAAAGTTTCATGACACAACGCGACCCAGAGGAAGCAGTGAAAGCTCGGCCTCTTCCTGTGGACAGCGTTTTATTAGTTAACGTGCAGTTATCTTTGGGCTCTGTAAAATGCTTTTCTTTCCCTTTTAGGCAAGGCAATTTTATTTATATAGACCAGTGCAGAGACCTGAGAACTGGACTTATTTGGATCAAATAACTCTGGTTCATGATCATTTCCTACATGTACGTCTGGGTCTGATCCTAGTGGCTGCAGTTTCCTCGGTTGAATCCCCTCCGACCAATCAGAGAGCGGGGGAGGCGGGTGTTGTAGGTCGATGTCGGCGACGTCAAGAGTTTGCTCTCAATTTGCTGGTTGTAGTTTGTCGGAGAATGTGATAGTAAAATAATCTGTTCTGGTTCAATCCACATATAAGACACTGAAGCCGGTCATTGAAGTCATTGAAGCAAAGATGTTGTGGTTCTACTCCCCACGGGCTCCGTTAGTGGCAATGGAGGTGGCTAAAGCTAGGCTAAATGCTAAATGCCTCCTATATAAGAACAAGCAGTGATACAAATTGACCGCGAAGTAAGTTCAAACTGCTATTTTGAGACCTCCACTGTACCTAAGTGAACTAATACAAGCATATATTTTATTGGGTCTACCATTACCACGGTTTGCATAGCAGCAGCCACACCAGCCCTCCAGTCATTCTTAGCACACACATTTACTTTTTTTTTTCATGACAAGGCAGCCAAGCCTCTAAATATCAAAGAGCAGGTTACCTCACGTCACCTTTGTCAGTGTAAACTATAGTCTCAGAAAAGTCATTTTTCCCAAGTTAAAAATTGTACAGATTTCTATAACCGGGAGGCATGCAGTTTGAAGAGGTGGAATTCAAGCCGGGGCAGATACTGGCTGGATTCACACCTCTGCTCCAGGCAAATTATAAATATATAAAACCACACTATCAATCACAAACACAGACATAATCAGATCCAGAATATGTGTCTTCAATAGAGGTGAATCACAGTATGAGGCACCAGCGGTAGCCAAGTGACAGCAACACAAGCAGAGTTTTAAGGGAAGTATGGAAAGTCCTGCGTTGGCATCAGTGTATAATTATAGAATTTAACATAAACTGATTCTGCTTAACTGTTATCACTGCGTTTGCTTGCTGGTTCTGTGACAGTGTGCTTCAGCAACATCACAGTCAAAGTTGGTCCATAGGAAAGGGAAAGAATAATGTCAATAGTAATGAATGTTCATAAATGTTCCGGATCATCAATGTGCTTAGACCCTTCTGCATCAACAAGGAACGTCTCAAAAAAAAAGAAAGAAAAAACGGTGGGAATAAAGTGAGAAACCTCGAGGAGGCCATACTGAGTGAGGGATCCGCTCTGACACGGAGGCTCCCGGGCGGCCGAAGGGAGACTAGTCCACAGCTGCACATGTCTATCTTATAGATCTTGTTTGCTGTGTGCATAACCTGTGCTCTTGACTCTCCTGTCATTTCTACTGTAATGTGCGCAATGATGACATAGAAGTGTCTCTACTGAGGTACGAATAAAGGTTATCTTAAGTATATACAATAATACTACGATACTGAGAGTGCTGTGATGTCACATGGGACTTCTGTGAAGAGTCATCAGAGTTTAAAGGCAAAGCTCTCGATTTCCCATCCCTTATACTCCCCTCGGTTCAAAATGACCCGCCACAGTGATTAAAAATTGACACTTTTAGACCCTAAATTTGGGTCTAATTGAGGGAAGGGCTCCCTCACGCACAAGAGAGGAAGCTTAGAGTAGAGCCACTGCTCCATATAAAGAGAAGCTAGTTGAGATGCCATAGTTATGATAGTGTTCCTTTTCCTTTTTATTCAAATGTTTGTAAATCCAGTTAGGTGTAGACACTTCACATGAAGGGACCAATCCCACTCACACACACATTCAAACACCAGTCTACACAGACATTCTACGCAGAGGTAGTCATTTAAGCCATTTATTTGTCGGCAAAAAGTTGATTGCAGCCTTTGCACTTTGCTAATGGTATCAAGTTGGGGTTCATCTTGAAGCCTTCTCAATGATGCTCATTGTTGTGGAGCATATTTTGTCAACATAAAAAGGTTACCCGACTTAGCTAGCTGCAAGTCCATCTCGTTCCAACCTTGGAATGCAGTAATGGTCCTATTTGAGGAGCGAGACATGGCTAATCATCAGCTGTTGCCCCCGGTGGTCCAGAAAGTCCCTGAAGCCAACACCATGACTCAACCATGACTGTGTGGTGATGGGGAGTTATGGAATAGATTTCAGAATACTGATTTGTGATTTTTTGGTATTCAGTATACAGTTACTTTACACAACTCAACTGCAAACTTTTATTCATATTTGATCATGCAACTTATGCTTTGAATGACTGAGACTGGTAGTAAACTGATAAACTAAACTAAAAAGTGTGATTGTATTTCGCACTTTGTCTATTTACGAATGAATCCTCTCTTGTTTTGTACAGTACTTTGAGTTGTCCTATACAAATAAACTGCACTAAACAAAACAAAACATGATGCACTTATCAACAATTCCTCAGCTAAATACTGTCAATGTTCATATATTAGTGATAACCGTATTTGTAAATCACATTTTAAGAGACGGTGACATCTGTGACTACAATTCCCAGAACCCCAGATACGACTTCCCGTCATTCTTATCTGTCCAATCACGGGCTTTGGAGGGATTCTTCTGAACCAAAACACGGAAATGGACACGGCACATGGTTTGTTTACACTCTGTGCACAAACTGAAGACAGAGCCTCTCTTTAGTGTTTCAGCTGCTGGAACGAGCTGATCCCCGACATCATCCTCCACCTCAGTCCAATGAAGCTCCTTTAACAACACACAACGATGGAGGTCACGCCGAAAGCAGCGAGCAAAGTCAGAAGTGTTTATTCCACACCTGAGAACACCGCGGAGGACGGCAGCCCGAGTGGGACAAGCGCAAACAAGGTATTTAGCTCTGCCAGACTTTAATGAAATGTGTACATGTATTTATAACGTAATGATGTCTGTTTTGACGGAAGGAAATGAAAATTCATATTTACAATTTGGGTGTTTGTTTTCTATGGGAAAAGCGGAAACATTTGGAAATAATGGTTTAAAAAGGACGAGCAAGTTTTTCATTTAATTGCTAAATACGACTGGATCTATTGTTTAAACGTCCTGAATGAACTCAAGAGATACACTACTTAAAGCTGGTGTGTCTAACTTCCAAATTAGCCCTTGTATTATATTATTATACAACATATTTTTAACTAGTTTATGGCTCTGTTTGCATGCATTTTTGGCCTTTGTCACATCTTCAGATCCGCTTTTCCTGACTGAAAAGTGACAAAATGAGGACCACTCTCACTCAGTCAATCAATTCAATTCAATAAATGTGTGCATACTGCATATCTGATAATCACAACTGTAGTCGTCTTTGCAAAGTTGTTGATTCGCCAACAACAGATCCGAGAATCAAAAAGTTCGAACACAAGTAATAATGCAATAATAACAAACGGCTATGTGCCTTATAGATCCATGCACATAGCACACTCACCTTATTGATATCTAATATCAATAAATCTGGACAAAATTACCGGTTACATTTGACATAAATAGGATCACTCAGGGTGTGTAAAAAGACAGGACAGGAAAAGAGAAGTAAGGTACCACAGCTTCAATTACATTTCTTATGAATGGATTATTTTTTCTACTGCTGCTTTTCTACATTTGCTGTCATCTCTGCAGTTCTAAACTTGTTGAACCATTTCCCATTGATCTGAAGCTTTGTTATTCACATCCATCTCATGTTGTATCTGATTTCTTGATGTTTGCAGTCCCAGCACAAGCTCAGCGCATCTTTGCGGGAGAGACTGATAAGATCCAGGCGCAGTTTCACCTCTCCCTTCTCTGTGGCCAAACGCTTGTGTGTGGATGAGGAGGAGGAAGGAGGCCGACACGTCCCAGCAGCTACAGCAGCTACAGTAGCAACAGTAGCAACAGTAGCAACAGCAGGGACAGCAGGGACAGCAGAGACAGCAGGGACAGCAGCAGACAACAACATTCCAGCGATCAGGAACAACGTGGACTTGAACAGAAATGAGCTGGGATCAAGTATCGCTGGACCTGCACCAGAGCCATGTCTGGACTTGACTCAACAACTGGAGCAGCTCAAGAGGGAGGTGAAAGACAAGACCGAGACCCTGCGGAGACTGAAGATGGTGAAGATGTATAGAAGCAAGGTAACGACTTTGTTAAACCTGGGGCACCTCACGTTCAAAGCTTAACGCCTTTAAGCCATGTAGCTAGTTTTCTGCTCACATTACATCTTTAGATCAGCTTTCACAGTCAGAAACAGTGAAAAAAGGCCCAAAGTATCTAATAGTGACTCTCTGGGATCTTCCTTTCAAGTATGTAAAAGATGACATATTTACAACAGAAACTAAGCACGTTCAATAAAGAAGCAAAATCTTGAATGTGCAAAAAGCGACGCTGCACTTAGTGATTTAGTAATTTAACATTGTGCTTCTATTCTATTTTATTTTATATTCTCTACTGTCAATTTGGAGGGACCAGTGCTGAGTATTAGTTTTGTCTCTAAGCAATATGATGCATACATCAGACTACTCTGACAGATTGTCTATGTTTTTTGTTCCTTCTCAAACAAACCAAATGATATTGATATTTTCTACTAAGATAACACTTACAAGAAACGTAAACCTTATATATTTGATAACACGTTAGGTAGCCTATCTTTAAAGACTGATAAGTTAGAATTAAATACATTTCATTTTAGGCTAAACATTTTTGTATTGTTGTTATCCTGAATACTAAAACAAATCCGGCTCTTGTTTTAGATTTATAATTGTATTTCATATTTCCTGGTTTTTGATGTTGCTTTTACTCATGAGTTGCAAGATTTAACCACAATCAAAACCACATTTGTACAAGTCACAATTATCAAATCACAAACCGTCATATTTGTATCAATAACATTTATTTTTGTACAGCTTAAAAATCACAAACACCAAATAATAACAATAACAAACACATTGGAGCCATTGCTGCACAGGAGGCAGGGTGACCACTCTTCATAAAGGTTAATAAATGTCCAATGTTTCGACAAATGACCAACAAGTCGAAAGAAAACCTTGAAATCACACCGCCCAAAAAGGGGGAAAAAAGTGAGAAACCTGGAACACAGCAACAGTTATAATTATATATATATTTTTTTTTACATATTTCCCATTCCTCAAAGTCAGTCAATGTCAAATAATTCAACAAAGTCACACATTTCTCTGTTTTCTAGAATAATCTGACGCAGCTTCAGGCATTGATCGACAAGTGGCGGAGCTGTGCCCAGGCGTCGCTCTATGAACTACAGTCAGACGCCACACGAGACGGGAAGAAAGCCAGTCTATCTGAGCTCATCGACCTGTTCGGTTTGGAGGACGGTATTCTGCACTTTGACCGAGCGGAGGACGACTTCACAACATGAGCTTAGACTGCGAGTGTTTAAGACCTGGAAGAAATGTCTTTAAATGTGTCAAAATGTGAGGTTCTTAATGTTTAATTTACAGGTCTCACAAGTAAGAAAGGGCTGCTAATGCGTTTTAACAACCTTTTGTAAAGTTGATTTGTTTTTTCTTTTTTTAAAGCTGGGGTACCTACCTTTTTTCTTAGATAATCCATGTCGTTTTTATAATTAAAAAAAGTGCAATAAAAAAATTAAAAAGAGCAAATCAGACCACTACAAACCGTTTTCATCTTACTAGAAAACTTGTGATAGTTTGCATATGATTAAGAAAGAGCCCTGTGAGTCACTGTTTGACCTTTTGGGCTGTGAGCTGATTGGCTGAGTGCTGTGGTCCTCTGTTTTTCACTTTTCGGTCTGTAAAAGCTGATCTGAAGATGTGTGCGTGTAAAAATAGGTGACGATTTTGAGAGCGAGGGACTAGGATTGTACTACATAGATACATTTGTTGTGGTTTTGGAAAATTAGGTACCCCAGCTTTAACTGGATTAGCAAATCTCATATTTACAGAACTATTTGGATACATTTCATTACATTATTCAATTATTTTGGGGTTTGAAAGTTGTGTACCCCAGCTTTACTGTTCTAAGGTGCGTGCTGGGGCAAAGATGACAGCCAACACTGCTTTGTAAAGTTGCAAAGGTTTAATTTCTATTAGTATGTTATTAGTTGTATTAGTTTTGCTTTGTTTCAAGATTGTGCAAGACTACCCCAGTGTGCACCAAATAGAGAAGATGGTACACACCAGGACTCTTGCCACGGCGCCATCATTTGTTGCCCACCTTGAGTCAGTTGTGCGGCAGCTGGGAGAGCGAGGGGAAGTTCTTGTTCCGGAGACGTTCCACCTCTGCCCTCAGCAGCTCCAGCTGCTTGGTCTGCGCCTCAGCCAGGGCCTTCAGCTGGCTCCTCTGAACTATCTCCAGATACCGCTCTTCATCTTCTGTGGCTGGGTTATCTGTAGCTTCGCCCCAAACAAACAGGTGCATGGCTTTATAGCGCTTGTTTCATTGTGCCTTTCTGAATATGCAAATAAATGTGCTGATTTACCGATTATGGCTTGGATTTGTTCCTTCGCAGCCACTCGGACCTCTGCCTCCGCTATCTGGGTTTCCAACACTGCGGTTTTGTCTGACGTCTGTTTGGCCTGGTGTTTCAGCTGTTTTATCTTTTTCTTGCGGTGCTCCACGTTTTTTAGATGACACTGAAAACATTACATGGAAAGTGAGACCGATGTACAGAGAGAAGATAAGAAAAGTAGTATGTTTAAGTAGTATTTTATGAACCTGTTTTTGATAAGCTAAAGTTTTTTCCATAACAGCGACTTGCTTCGACGCTCGGCCCTCTCGATCGGTACTGTTTAGATACTGGGAAAACAAGAGAAGGCAACATTAAAACGGTTATTTTTTTGGTCAAACTAATTCTGTACGAAAGAAAAAGTACATAATGCATGCCTCCTCCTCCACACCATAAATTAAACAATCCCAAAAGCAACACAACATATAAAGATGGTTGCAATTACTATTTTTGTTAAAGAATACGCAATGAACAAAAACACAAAATACCTATTTACATGTAAATAAGAAAGAAGTTCAATAAATAATGATTCAAATATTCAAGAAAAATACTTTCTTTACATAAACATTTGTTTTTATTATTGCATGTGATTTGGAATGAATGTTTATTTCAGTGCCCTATAAAATCGGCCCTTTTTATCCTTTGCGTTTCCATTCCATTTAGCTATTATCGCTTTCACGACTTTAAGAAATAAACATAGCCATATATAGAGGTTCTTCATGGCTTAATAGTTTCCGAATTTTAGTTTTCAGCTTGTTGATCCCTCCCACCATGCTCCTGTCACATGACAAAGCTAACCATGGCGATCTCTGCAGCATTACATTTAATACACTTATTATGGTTATGAATAATCCTCATATTGTTCATAAACCTGCATTTGAGCTGAATTTATTGTGCTTTGAATGTGTTTTTCCTGTATTAAAGTGAGCGGCACAAAGGCAGGAAAGAGCCACACCTCAGAGGGCACGAAACCAAACGCCGAACAGACATTTGTGCTCGGAACATAGTGCTCAGGGCAGAGTTTTTGGACTTCAAAAACGTGTGACTCAGTTCATAATAATGTGTCTTTATCATCACCAAAGCTCATTGGATAAGTGAGGGTTTGTTGGAACTTGCAAACTTGTTAATGGATTAAAATTTGGACAAACCCAGAACAAAATGTAAGAGACCAGACCAGGACTAGAACAGGATCAAGCCCAGGATCGTTCAGTATTTCCAAATTCAATGAAAGATGCTGTAAAAATGTAGGCGGTATAATACAAAGAATACTTAATTATCTGCGTCATCACAACGTCATCTGTTCGCACTTATCCACTAAACATCTGACACAAAACAACCCTTCATCGAGACCCACCCTTCATCAAAATCTGCAGACACATGAGGTGCAAAGAATGAATGAACTTCCTTAAAGCTGGGGTACCTAACTGTTTTCCCTCCATCACAACAGGAAGTAAAGTAAAATGTTGTGAACAAATCCAGAATACATTGGTTTTATATGGATCTTTTTGGGTCTGGATGTTATATTAAATAAATAAAATAAATAATATGAAGTGATAAAGACCACAACATTCTGTCTTCATCTTGTTATAAATCATTTGATCTTCTGAATCAAGTATTCAGACAGAGCCCTGTGAGTCACTTTTTGCCCCACTGTGGCACCTGGTGTTCCCAGAGGTCTCCCATCACAGTACTAACCAGGTCCTGTGCTGCTTAGCTTCAGAGGTCTGTCAAGATATGGCTTTCACATTCACGTTGGTGCCATATTTTATTACATAGCTCAATTTTTGTGTGCATATATGAACAGACTCGGACTCTGAGGAGCACAGGGACTGGCCTCCTGCTGGTGCCCAGGGTCAGGACTGAATATGGGAATGCAGCATTTTAGATTAATGTAGCTAAAATCTGGAACAGTCTTCCTGAAAATGTGAAACAGACGTCTTCTCAAATTGAAAACATCTCTTTTTAGCTGGGTATACTGTACGACTGAAGGATTCTAGGCAAGGCAGGTATATTTTTGTAGCACAGTTCACGCACAAAAAACTAGATAGATTATTAAAGATGTTGATGCCTTGTATGATTGTTTCTATCTTGTTTTGTTACGTCCTTTGGATTGCCCTGTGTATAAACTGTGCTAAACAAATAAACCTGCTTTACCGTGCCTTATCACCATCAGTACAATAATACAGTAAGCAGAGACTGATTCCGCTTGTGTTACCTCCTTTTGATCCGCAGAAATCCTCAGCGTTTGAATGTCTCTGGCTTTATTCTCCAGATCCTCAATGTGCATCCTGTTCCTTTTGAGCTCCCACTCCTGCTGAAGGATATCTTTGCCCAAGTTCTTGCGTTCCACCATGGCTGAAATCTTGCTTTCTCCAATCGTCTAATGACACACACACACACACACACATTACACATACTAAAAAAAAAACTGCTTGTGCGAAGACTACACTGCAAAAAACTGATAAAATATGAGGTGAAAATTGCTTGAATCGAGTGTTTTTTTTTTCTTAATCTATATTCGCCAATGGGACAAAGCCATTTTGTCTAATATCAAGAACTGTTGCTTTAATTTCTCATTCCAAGGGAGACATTTCTTGTATCTTTTTAAAACAAGATAATTCTGCTTGTCCCAAATGGCAAATGTTGTTAAAAAGGCAGTCAAAATGTGTTTGAATTAAGATACATTTTGCCAAATTTGAGCAATTTTTGACTTATTTTTCATCACTTTTTGCAGTGTATGCGTAGACAAACACTCGCCCTACCCTGATGGTTCTGTTCAGGTCTTCCACCACACTTCTTGGCAGCAGTATGGAGTCTGCGTATTGGCCTGAGAATTTTGTGTTGGAGACCTCCACTTGGCCTTGTTTCAGCAGGACCTGGACGTTCAGGTCCATAATGAAGCGGTTCTTCACCTGGTGCAATCTGCGCAGACGCAAAACAAACCATGGCCTCGTAAAAGTCACGGCTGTAATCTTGTGTTTTCGAGCCTATAATCATCGGAGGTTATGATACACACACCTCTTGAGCTCCTCTGACATGGTCTGGTATTCCTCTATGACGGCTTTCTCCTCGTCTTTCCTCGCTTGAAGGAATGCGATCATCTCAGCCAGCGTGAGTGCGTTCATTTTGACCTGCAAGTCCCACAGTTGAGTGTAATATACGTTTAACCCAAATTTGTTCTGTATTGTTTTGTATGTGACTAGACCAGCTATTTGTAAATAAAAATTGTGATGATATTTTTTCTCTCTTCGCAAGAGAAAATGTACCCTAAGTAAGTTCTTATTTAGGGAACATTGTGTGAATCAATTAAAGTTCATTCCATTTATTAGTGGATAATCCTGAATCGATTTCTCATCAACAGATCACCAACACCAACACATTCGGGAAGTCCACTCCTAATATACGTCTATGTGATGGAACCGAATAGTTTGAAAAGCAAGGATCTGGTTACATTATTTTATTACATACTGTAGATCATTTTTAGTGGTTTGAAAGTTAGATTTCCAGCTTTAATATTGTACGTTGATGTGGTTCTGGCAGGTCATTTTACTGTCACTGTGTGTAAATGCCCAACGAGGGGCACATGAAGAATTGGCCTTGGCTAAAATGTTAGTGTCCAACATGAAACATCTGCTCTTTTCCCTAACCAATAAACTGAAAGAATACATGAATTAATAATCTTTACATACTGTTACACCGGCATAAAGACAATATTGATCTTAGACAAATATTCACAATATTTAAATATAAAATTACTTAATAATTGTGTATTCTAATCTATTTTATGGAAAGATGTTACTTAAAGATGTGTTCATTAGCGACCTCGCTATTGATTGTACAATCTGAACACCAGGCTCGTTCACAAAGCACAGTATGTGTGTGTTTGTGACACAATGCAGCTTCAGTCAGTGTGAATATTGTGGATGCTCGTTTACAGACTTGATAAGACGAGTACCACGCTGTAAAAATGTCCGGTATTAATAGACCACTGGCTCCTTTTGGACTCGGATATTTTTATAAAAGGCAAGCACTGGATTTTGTATCACACATGAGAGTAACACAATCTGACGTAGCTGGAAAGTACCTCAGCTGAGACAACATACACACAACACAGTGAACATGAATACATTTCAGATTTTGTATTGTTTCAGATTTAGAGTTTGACCTGCTTGATGTGAATGACTATACAGGTCAGTAGGTCATCTTTATAAAGCACCTGTCAGTCAGAATGATCTGGGAATTACCCTCCCGTGATGTCATAAGTTCACTTACTTACTTAAATCGCCCCATTTCTTCAACATTTTCTACACAGCACTGTCTAAAATAAAAGACTGATATTTCTTCTGTCAGACACTCCCACACAAACGCATTACCTCGTGCTCTTTTTCCAGTTTGTTTCTTCGGAAAATGCAGAAGCGTTCCCAGACGGCTGGATGCAGTTTTTCGGGCATATTTTGGGGCGAGTCCATCTCATCCACGCTCTTCATCAGCTTCCCAAGACTCTCCGTTGCCATGGAACCAGACAAGCACGGCTCTTTGAATGGGATGGGGGTTTTAGTGACCTGTGCCCTCATCTTTTGGGCCCTTAATGACAAAAAAGATAGATAGACCCATATTTTAAAAGCAAAATTATATCTTGTTTGGTGTAGTTCTTTTAAAATGTAAGCTACAAACCTGGGTCTGCGCTTGAACAATTTGTGGAGTTCGTCGACAAAATGTCTGGGGACGTCACAGAACTCTTTGTGGAATTCTTTGTCCAGACCCTTGGTGAGAACAAGAGTATAAAGCAAATTCATACAAAAGTCTATAGTGTGGTTACAGTGTCATTCAATAACATTGTTTTTGTCTAAATATTATTATAATGAACTTTTTCCTTCTTTGTCTACATTATTTTATTGTAATATATTTCTGTGTGATTTAAAACAATAGGCCTGCAGGAAATGCCTTTTAGTTAGATTTTTTTTTTTTTTTTCATTGTAGAGTTATTGTTCATTTATCTTCTGTTGTGTGCTCCTCTTCCTACTGTTCTGTAACCAGTGATGCAACACTGGAATTTCCTCACTATGGGACGAATAAAGGATAACGAGGCATTTTTACCGACTATAGATCTCTGAGATGTGAAGTACATCATATATAAAATGCGTTACTAAGTGTAAGTAATAATTACACTATAGACAGACAAGCGTTTTTGTACACACATCCCATACACACACACACATGAACACACGCACACACAGTACATTTCACACTTTTATAATGTACAACTGAAATTAAAAGATTATTCAAAAGGTCATTTATTTCTGTAATTCAACTTATAATGTGAGACCAATTCATGATACAGACTCTTTATTTGGGATTATTACTAGTTGTGAACCAATCATCAACATGGCTCACTGCACTATTACATCCCTCCGCCTGTAATGAGTCTGTCATAAATTAGTTTCCCATTGTCAGTTGAATAAGAGAAGGAAATTGACTTTTGAGTTTCACCTGTATGCTCTATTAAACCTACTTGGTCCTCAGCGACTGTAGTCTTGTAGACGGTTTGAAAGTTATCCACCTCTTCTTGGCATTTCCTCACCTCTTCTGAGATGTCATCCTGCCAAAACAATATGACATCTGCTCTCCATAACTGATTTACATCGACTGCATTAAAAATGATGAGCAGGCCGCGCACACACGCTCTCTGGCAAAACAAGCCTGCGCATGGGCCCTATGTTTTGTCAAAAGCCAGAATTGATCTGAGTTTGACGTTACTGTAAAATATTTGATTTTCTGACCTTGTGTGTCAGCACTTGTTCAAGTCTGGACTTGAGTTCTGCCTCTCGATTTATCATCTCTTCTTCCACATGCAGGGAATGGACCAGGCAGGCAATTTTCAACTCTTCCTGTGGAGGATATTACACTCACATATATAAGTATAGTTGGATTGTGAGAAAGGTTTCACAGGGAAATTATACGGGGGTTGTCACACCAAAAGCAATATTAGACAATGCTTTTTACAGAGATAGTAATTTATAGGCGTGGGATTCTACTATGACCGCAAAGCAACATTGTGTGTATTGTATTGAATTGTTTAGGTTCTGAGTTGTGGTCATACTTGCATGCGAAAGCCAGATCCTGTCAGACCTCTGAAGCTGTGCAGGCAGGGCCTGATTAGTGCTGTGATGGGAGACCTCTGGGAACACCAGGTGTCACATTGCGGCTGTAAAGTGCAACTGTTGGTGTGTCCTTAGGCAAGAAACTTAACCCACATGTGTGTGAATGGTTGGTGGTCGGAGGGGCCAATGGCACATACTGGTTTCCTCGCTTCTGTCAGTTTGCCGCAGGGCAGCTGTGGCTACAGTAGTAGTTTATCACCACCGTGTATGGAGTGAATGAATCATGACATGTGAAATGTCTTTAAGTGTGTCTATTTCGGTCGGAGTGTCGGTGCCAATACAATGGGAAAGAAAAATGCCCAAATGTTTTCCCAGATCATTATTTTCGAGTAACTAGATTCTCAAACCTGCCTTAATATTCTCATGTGTAAAGCCCTTTCTCCTGATCAACATAATGCATAGGTTTTTGAAAATTGTTTACAATTTCTAGATACCGTAATGAGAAAAGAATTAGACCATTTGATATAATAATAATATTAATAAAACATCATACTTATTTAGCCCTTTTTGGACTGTCATAGTCACAAGGAAAGATTTAAGAATTTCGCTCCACCATAACTTGGTGTTTTGATGTTGCATAAACCAAACCAATTGAATGATCACCTGATTAACAGCCATTTCACATTTCTCTTGCTTCTCAAACAGCTTTGCCATTGTTTCATCAAACTTATTGACGCCTTCTTGGTTCGCCAGCTGCAGTTTTTTAATCTCCGACTCTATAAGCTGTAAAGCATAAATAGTAGGATATCAGTAAACTGACCTAGAGCTTGTGGGAATAGAAATAATGCATTGTTTGTATACTTTTCTGTACTGCTCTTTTGCTTCATTCAACTCGTCCAACTTCTTCTGGTACTCCTTGTGCACCTTATTCTCTTCTTCGCTCCACTGGACTTCAGGTTTGGTCAAAACAAACTCCGGAGGAGGAATTTCCTGTGGAGGCAATTCAAAAGAAACTATGTGGCCTTTATTCTGATTTTCAAGCAGCACCGAATGGGCACCGAGCGTTTTACACCCGAGACTTTCTACAAATGCAAAGTCAAGCCACAGAACCTCTCACCATTTTCAATATGTCCTGTTTCTGCACTTGCAGCCCGCCGCCCATCATGTCGTCCAGAGTTTTATCCCGATAATTATTTCCCTGAAAACAAGATGTATGTTATGTCCCTAATTTGATCATAGGTCATGTAAACAGAGGTTCGCAGAGTTTGAGGGTTAGGTCCAAACTCAATATTTAACTTCAAAAACAATCACAGGAAATGTACTGTATACCTTGTCCAAAAGGGGAAATCATTATTCTCTGCTCATAAACAAGTGACAAAGAACTTATTCTTTTGTAGCAACAATGTCCTTCTGTATTTAAGTGTTTCATCAAGAACACATTTTCCTCTCTGCCAAAACAGTTTTCACATTCATGTATCTATGTATTCATTTTTAACCTCTGTCATAACTTTAGTTTTCAGACAGAAAAGTGCCAGCCCCTAAGCATCAAATAGTGACGAAGGGTTCTTTTGTATCAACTAAATATAATCTGTTCTCTATCAGGCGTGTTGCCATCTTATTTCTTCTGAAAATGTTACATTGAAAAGACTGAAACAAACAAAATGTACCAATTATGAGAGACCAAGACAAGAAAAGAAAATGTATTTGATAGAACAGTTTTGCGCTCTCAACATTTAAAGCAACCCTAAGTCACAAAAAATACTATATACATCTGTTTTTATTAAATGGTTATCAAATATACAACTGGAAAAAACTAGTGTAAAAAAAAAATAAAAAACCCTCACCAAACTATTTTAATAGGCGCATACCTTGGAAGCCAAATGTCTCTCCGCTTCCAACTTTTTCAGCTGCTCTTCTTTTTGCTCTGGGGTGAGGTATTTCTCAGATGTGATCTAGAATGAAAAAAATAGTTTATTGGTGTGAGGTTATTGTGACAGGAAATCCAAGTGGTTTGATGAGATTCGAGTGTCTGACCTCCGAGTCCTGGACCGTGAGCAGTTTCTCTGGGCACTCGGAGTCGCTGAGACTGGGCTCAAAGATCTCCTCCTGCAGCCCCAGCTCCGCCATGATCTCCTTGATGCGACTGTTCCTTTGGCCAATACTCTTCAGCTCATATAATTTCTGTTTGTGTGTCGCGTCAAAGTCTTTATTAAAAGCTGTTTTGACTTTGTAGATCAGGTCCTGGAAGAAAGGGTCATCAAAGTCAGTGGCTGCGAGTGTCCATGTTAATGTCATGTTACAAATGTGAAAAAAACAAACAGATGCCAAAGTTCTTTTAACACTGGGCTATTTAACAAAAAAAATGTGGCTAATAGTTGGTTCTATAATTGGAATTGGTAGCATAATCTATCCAACTAGTTCCTGTGACTTTAAATCAGGTTTTTCAGACAGAAAAAGAAAATGTGTCTTCTCTGACAATGTTCAAATCCAGGTTAAAGACGGTTATGTTTGCCTGTGCATACAACTGAAGGATTTTAACTCTTTTTTAATGCACTGTGATTATTTTATTTTTTAATCCCTTGTGTTATTTTAATGTTTTACCTGTGTGATTTTTAATTGTGTGATGGCGATGTTGGTGTTTCTTTTATGCAATGATCTGTGCATTGTGTGATGTGGACTGTGAAGTGCTTTGTGTTGCCCTGTGTATGAAAGGCACTCTACAAATAAAGATTGATTGATTAATTGAAAAAGAGAGGACCACCCTTGCTCAACCAATCAGCTCTCAGCCCATAGCATCAAATAGTGACTCACAGGGTTCTTTCTTACACGTATGCAAATTATAACATGTTTTCCAAAGAGATGAAGATAGCATGTTATGGTCCAATTTGTTCACAACATTTTACTTTTTCAAAACTCTGAGACAAACAACATGTATATATCTATGGAAAATAAACTCCTAGCCAAGGTGCTTTGTAAGGGTGCTAGTTTCCATAGCAACACACTGTTTACTGTTGTATTTCAAGTTAAGGCGCTTAGTAAAAGTGAGAAAAGGGTAAAACCTTATGAATTACCTACTCCTAATAAAACTGGTGGAAAACTAACTCACTTTTTTTTAGATTGTTTCAACATTTCTGGGTGTTAAAACAGATAACACCCCTTCAGACGGACAAGTTGCAAATCTGTTTCATTATTGAGTGATCTAAAATATCAACTTTATATTCATTGTGCCCCTCCAATTAATTATATATAGGTTTTATCTCCTATTAGAATGCATGCATGAAAAACTGCATGTTAGACTGTTATACGTTGTTGTTTCCAGTTTGTACCTGAAGCAGAATGATCTGGTTGACTTTCTGCTCTCGACTCCGCACTTCAAACTGATTGTACATGTATGGACTGGAACAATCAAACTCATAGGAGAGACTGCTCTTCACGTCCGTACCCGGGCCTTTCTCCTCTCCGTCCTGAAAATGGAAGTCGAAAAACACATTGAATTAGAGCTTTGAGGACAGATTATGTGGCTTGGAGATTATAAACTTGCTCCTACGATTACTGAGAACTTTGCAACGCCTTTTTTAACATGGGGCCGCGGAGCTATAAATCTAGAAAGACTTGTGGATTGGCCCGCGCTCAGCCATCCCTGAAGTTACAGCACTGGAACTACATAGTTAGAATTGTGAGGCGAAAAGCATCAAATTATTTTTTCGCCGTAAAAACTTGTTTTGACTTGAAACTCTTTGCTGCTGTGTGTGTGTTTTTTCCACAGTCAATGCAACACAGACGCACCTGACCTGGATTCTGTTTCCAATTAAAAACATATTGAATTTAGTAGATTATAATTTGTTACATGCAACTTCTTCTGCAGCGTAGTCTGGAGCCTAAACCACAAATTGTCTCTGCGTGTGTAGCGTGCTTACAGTGCATAGGGCTTGTTCGATCCGCCTCTGCTGCTCAACTCTGCGTAGGTCCTCCAATTCCTGTTCGGTGCGCTCTCTCAGCGGGTAATTCTTCACCTCATAGCCTGATTGAAATGCCTAAACAACAGGAAGCAATAGGTGTAGACGGTAATCACATTGCTTAATACAATTGTCTGCTATAGAAGAACCAAAGACTTTTAATAGGTTTAGAAGTATTGCAAGTCATTTGAGAGGTGTCATTGATAATAGTTGTATTTATCTTGTTTTGTCTCCCCAGCATTATGAGACAATTGGGGTATATTCATCAGTGTGTTTGACTGTGTCCAAATCTGATTTACTGATCTTACTTTAAAAAAAAAGAAAAAATCCCAACAGAAAGTGCAACTGACATTTCCCCACTCTGGGACAAATAAAGCATCTCTTGTAAAACTAAAACTATGTGAGCAAAACAAACCACAACATGCAGTCTTATTAGAACATATTTTGCAAACCCGTAGGAAAGAGCCCTATGAGTCACTATTTGAGGCTCTGGGCTGAGAGATGATAGTTTTTTTTTTCACTTTTCTGTCCAAAAAAGTTGATATAAAGCCAAAACTGGTAATTGAAGCAAACTGTTTTGAGAGCGAGAAACTAGCTAGACGTATTTCATCACATTATAAATTCACGTTTTTGTGATTTGAAAGTTAGGTATCCCAGCTTTAAGATTGAGGCAAAGTGGTTTATTATGCACATATCCTACAGCACCTGGCTTTGAATGCGAGTGTGTCTTGCATGACCTGTATGTGTATGTGTTAATATTTTATGTTGAATAGAGCTGCTGAACAGTGCAAAACAAATTTCTATCTATAACTTATCAGTCAATCAATCAATCAATCAACTTTCATTTGTAGAGTGTCTTTCCTAAACAAGGCAACACGAAGCGCATCATAACACATTTCACATTAAGCATAAACATTAAAATCTACATAATTTTTTTTTTTAAATCCAGTCACACCTTAACAGATCTGCCTTTGACCTTCAAGCTATCCCAGCCAATCTTCTTCAATCTGTCTCGATGGTAGTAGTTGGTGAGAATTCTCCACTCAGTTTCAGCCCTCGCCTGTAGAACGGAAGATACACATTCCCAGCATGTGAATTATTAAGAAGTATCTTGAGCATCCACAGCCTCAGTCCTCGTTCTACAGCCTGACTTCTGGATCTAGACTCTGTCCGTCTGTAGGAGCAGATGCCTCTCTCAATATGGGCCTCGACGTAGACATTTATTAGCATTAATGGACAGGTCATCCCTCTCCCTATGGACCAATGTGTTCTCTGATCTGTTCTTGGCGAATCAACAACTTTGTAAAGTCCTCTGAGACTAGTGCTGTTGTGACATTTGAATTGAACATAGGCCGATGATGGTACCTTTAACACCTCTTCCTCGTGTAGGGCTTGGAGTCTTCTCTGATCCTCTACATCCAAAACGAACTCTGATGGGTCCAGACGTTCCATTTCAGGAGCGCTCTCATTCTCACAGATCAGTTTTTGAAACTGTGAAAAAAACATGATTGTGTTTGCAAAAGTAAAATGGGCCTGCGTGATGACTTTCTAGGGCACAATGTATAATGAAGTTTGAATATAATGGGGATGCACTAATCTCGATAGTGTGGCTTTCAAATCCTGTGGATACCAGATGAGTGATTATCAGTGCCTTAAATTAGTACAAAATCTTAACTTTCAAAATTGTGGGTGTGTTTGATTTTTACCATTATCCTGCAAGTACCAACGGACACATTTTGTTTTAGTAAATGTTAAAACTATGGCTTTTTGTTGAATATTGGCCGACAAACAGTGTTATTACATCAACTGGGAATAGGCTTAACTAATCATTAAACCAATATCAAACTATATATCCGCTACATGTAACAATACCAGGTGGGTCCCTAGACGATGACACCAATTTAAAATATGTGGGACAAACAGAACATCTGCACTCACAGATTCCTGTAACATTTTGTGTCTTCTCAGGAGGTCTTTCTTAACTTCTGAATATTTCTCATTGTCCTCTTTGACGATCTGTTCAACACAAAAAGAAGGATGTTTTATTCATATCAATGGCCACAATGAAACACTTCTAGACAATGCAAACTATGATAAGCTAATGAGTATAACCATTACAATATGTGACAACTCTTATTGTTTCATAACTACCAAGAGCGTATCTCTCCCTATAAAACTTTTTTTTAATTTTTTGTATCCACGAATTGGCTGAGTGGACGTTATTGCCAATAGCAACACAGCTGCTTCCCTGCCCATGGTTTTACAGACTGGTGCAAACGGCCCCACCTGCAAAACTACAGCACAAAACCACAATCTCCACCACCGTATTGGCATTAGCCTCTTAGTCACTGACCGCCTCTCGCCTACTTTCCAACCAAGTCTTTTGTGAATGGCTTTTGTCATCTTCCTCTTTTTCTTTCGCATTTGTTGTTGCCGAACTTCCACCGCCCTGGAAAAAACCCAAACCCAATCAGTTAAAATAAGGTATCTCCATTAGAATGTTGTTACATGTTTGTATAAATCTTTTCTGCAAAAAACCTGTTCACTCCACTCCATCATATCACCAAGGACTTTGTTTTCAGTCGTGACTTGGATCTGTAAATTGCTCTGTAATGACATAGGCTGAGGATTGGAACCTTCTTCTATTCTGTTGGAATATAGAAAAGTGTGATTAGTGTAAAAATGCAGCAGATTCAAACTTGATTTGATGAAAATGGACATACATTTTAAATGTGTTATTTTTCTATATTAATTAAACTTGTTTAAAACTAGTTTTTAACAAGTTTGTTATTGGTTGAGAGTAGGTTGCACATTTTCATAGAAATGCCAATACAGTAAATAAAACACAATAAATTAAATGAAGAATTGTACAGTTGCGATGCTTTATGGTTAAGATCAACAAATGTCACAATAGGCCATGTTTTATACCATATCATGAATAATATTTGTGTTTAGTGTATTCAATGTTTAAAGTGGTTGTTAATGTAAAAAATAAGTGTGATACAGTTGTTGACTATTTCTCTTTTGCAAAAGAGGGAGGAAGATGGCTCCATTGACAATAAAGGTAAAGACCCTTGTCCTAAACATTCTGATTAATTTAACTAAAATATCTACAATTCAATGTTCATAAACTTATTCCCACTTTGCCCAAGGAATATCAAGACATCAATAAACTGACTTTCTCTTTTATATTTGAGCTGACTCTTGATTTGAACAATGCAGTCAAACACAGGGAGATGGACAAGTGAAACCATACTTTAGGATGAAAGGCACGTGTGGAATGTGAGTGAGATGGGATCCACATGGGGCATGTTTATCAGAACTTGCCTTTCCTACCTCTGGACCTATCAGACCAGTATTTATGTACTATTTCACATCACAGAAATCCCTATGGGAGATCATTCATGTACAGTACTTGGCTGTGAGTCTGCTTCTGAGGCCTACGGTTCCCTCTAGTGTCCGCAGATGTGCATTGTGTGCGTGTGTGTTTATGGTGGGAAAATCCTCACTTCACATTAGTGCACACGAGAGAGCCATCATTGTTATTCGCACTGAGAATATTTAGACTGTTTGCGGAGATAGACAAAAGTGGAACTCCAGAAAAGCACAGGGAATGGCACTGTATCTTAACGCATGTGGCCTGTGTACATAAAAAGAGGAGGATATCTGTAAGTAAACACATATATCGTTGGACAAATAATTAAAAAAGATTCACCAATGAGGCACATTTCCTGACTCTCAGAATACCAATTGGGCTCAAAGAGGCGAGCCAAGACTTGTGAGGAGAGAGCGCCAGGAAACAGGATCCCATACAATAATCCTTTACCCAACAGGTTGGGGTGAGCCGAGTGCTCTGTTCACTGTCAGAGGAGGTTGAGTCCTGGAATAAAAGTCAATCATCAATAAAACAGAATTATAATATTAAAAAAGGCCCTCACATACAGTGGTAACACTCATTCTAATTTCTATCTCTGCTTCTAAACTGTGAAACATATTCTTACCTGAGGAAGCTTGTAACGCTGCAGACGTGTCATTTTAAGACAGTAAGCAAAAAATTCATTATTTCCCAGTACGCAAGATGTGAGCGAATATGGAACTTCATATTTAGTCACATTTAGGACAGTCTTTGAAAGATAACCATTTCGGTCCACACTATTGGGAATCTCTGTCAAATAAAATGAAGAGATCATGTATGTATTTCCCGGAAGCTGTCATGCACAAGATATTACATGAATACATTGAAATAGTGAGCATTTATTACCAGTGATGGTCTTTGCAGGTAAAGACAGCAGTGTCAGCCGTTTGCTGTGAGTTTTGTTTGAGTCGGCACATAGTGCAAGAACTTTCACCTGTCCAGTTTCCTTTATGTACTGAGCAGACAGGGTCAAAGATGGGCTCGGTAACACTGCAAAAATACATGAAAAATTTCTTAAATAACCTCTTACTACACAATCCCTCTTTATCTGAAACGCGAAAAGAATGTCTTTGGAGAGTTTTAAGAAAAAAAATCAATATTTTAACAGTACATGAGGTAAATACAATATTCAATATTTCTATTTGGTACTTTGGTACTTTCTATTTGGCGACAGTAGCTCAGTTGGTAGAGCATTGGCCTTTGAGCCTGAAGGTCGTGGGTTCGTGCCCAGACCTACTTCACGACTCCCACTGATGACTGCTGTCGTTGTGTCCTTGGGCAAGACACTTAACCCTACTTTGCCCAAAGCCCCAACTGAAAGATCTCAGCTCCTGTGGACTCACCACCTGCAGGAGGATCAGTGAGGGGCTGGTGCTCTGTGTACTGGGTGCAGCTCTGACTGCCACCCCCCCGACCCAGAAATGGATTAAGGGGAAGAAAATGGATGGATGGATGGACTATATTTTAATCAATTTAATGTACTAAGACTATATTTAGTTATATAGATATTTTGACTTAAACAATTGATTTTCAATAAATGAAATATATGAGACATCAGTATTTTTGTATTTTGTAATATATGGAGCAGAACATTAGATAAGTGGTCAAAAGCCTTTCATTTTTTTGTATTATATGAAATTGTTTAGAAATTCGAATTGAAATTCGTACACACAGCCCTACGGATGACTCATCCACTCCAATTAAAAGTGGAAGCAATCTCTGGATGGAGAAACAACAAACTCCAAAGTCGGTCTACAGGCCCATATTTACCATGGGACATTTAGATGAAAAGAGGTGGTGGTGGGAGAGGAGGAGGCAGTGGTGACTATACCACAACTATACCAGCGATACCACATTTAGATACAGGCTACAGCTGGTTTCAGGAGAGTGAATCTATTTGACTGTTGAATGACCAACTGTTGGGTTTGAACAATTCCCCTTTTCACAGCTGGGGAGGCAAATGTTGCTTAGGGACCTGCAGTGAAGCAAAAAGCTGCAGGTGGAATGCATGTAAAATACCTATTCCTTATTCATTTTTATTTATTGTTGGACTCTATATAATAACAACTCCAGTTGATTCTGTACATGCACTTTCAGTTTTAACTATCATGTAAAAGTACATTAACTCTTAATCCATATAATGAGGCATCTCTGTATTAGGATGTCAGGTCAGATAATTGCACCATGTCATCGCGGACATGGTTTTGTCGAGTCATTGCTCAACAGTTAGTGCACAGTCATGGTGACTTTGCATCATGACCTGTCAGACCCGCCCTTCATGATGAAAACAGACTGATATCACTAAGCAATCTATACTCTGGGGACAAATCAAAGTTGTTGGCCCAGGATCAATGTTTAATTTGTGTTAGGGGTTTAGTGTTAGGGCTAGTTCACTGTGATTAGTGTTAGGGTTAGATTCAGGGTTCAGAATAGGGTAAGGGTCAGAGCTATAGGTATGGGATCCTGGACTGATAATGACACAACGTGTTTTACTGCTGCATACCATACCTGTGCATCCCAAGACAGCAAATTGTGATGATGGTCTGGGATCAATAACATAGACGTAGGAATCTTGTGCACTTGTGAATAAGTAGTTACCATGTGGATCAAACCTGCAAAATCACAACAATGACACTTGATTATGCATTCAAAAATACATCGAACAGAGGTGGTAAAAGTACCAGTCTTAGGTACTAAAGTATTCATGTATAGAAATCTATTCAGGTAGTATAAGCAGTATAAGCATTTGTTGTTGAGAATATATGTACATAAAAAATGGAACTTGAGCAGAATGGTTGTCTGAACTTAGAAGGGCTGTTGAGGTGGCTACCGTATTCACTTAAGTTTGAACCACTTCCAAACTGTTTTTAATAATGTGTCACCCTCTGCAAAGTAATAAGTAAGTAGCTAAAATGTAAGGAGCAGAAAGTACATATAGTTGGGTAATCAAGACATATAAGTAAAAAGTTGTCAGAAAAGTGAAGTACCAATAAGATACCAGAATAAAGTATGGTAACCTTACTTGCCACCTCTGACATTAGAAGTACATGATTGTGTTTTTGTAAAATACTTGCACTAAATGCTGCACAGGCGTGTGATAGAGAGGAGTTTGGTGCACTGTACGAGGCTGCAGCGGATCTCTGACGTCAACAAAGAGAACTTTTCCACAAGCTGTTCCCAAAGCCACATATTTTGCGACAGGACAGCAAGCCAGGCTTGTTATCTTTACAGGACGATAGAGAAATGCACAGTAAGTTATACTACACACATATATATAAGTACCGGTAAGCATGTCTGTATTCTTGCCTTTGCTTGCATAGACAAAGCACTGAGCATTATGCCATCAATCGACCACACCTGCAGCTGTCCTGGAGCTCTCACAGTCTGAAAGATACACAGAAATAATAGGTTTTAAAAGCATTACCTATTATAATATTTATATATCACTTACCACACATATGTTCGGATCAGTGGGCGAGAAAGCTAGAGCCACAAAGTCCCCACACAAATCATCCAGAACTTTTGTCACATTCTTTGAAGAGTGAGGATTTAAAGTGAATATTTGACCCTGGAAAATACAAAGAACCAGATGAAATTGTGCAGCCTTTAAAGAAGGGGTGTCAAACTGGTTCCAGAGAAGACTGGTGTAGCTGAAGGTGGTAATTCAAATCAAGCAGGAGCACAGCAGACTCCACACATTTCCTCAAGTCTTCAGGTTAAGACTAGACACACTGGTTGGAATTAAAATCTGCAGCCACGCCAGCTCTTTTGAGGACAGGTTTGACACCCCTGGTTTAAGACGTAAAATCATTTGTTATGTTTATGTAGATGGAGTGTGCCGCAATTACCATATCTGAGGCACATAGTAGCATTTCATAGTTGGGTGAGTAAAGAGCAGTTGTAATCGGACATGCTAATTCCCACGTCTTTATGATTTGAATCTGCTTTTCCTTTACCAGCAACTTTCGACACACTCTATCCTGCAAAAAAGGTAAACATAAGTTCAAATGGTTTTATAGCAAATAATTGAGATATGTTGGTCCATATAGATCACACACTTCTCCTACTGCAATGAGGTGATCTTTGTGAAAAGCGAGAGCTTGAAAACCATGTGTGAGCTCAGGGAAACCGTTAGGTACTGGAAAAAACAATAATTCAGAATGTGACACGACTATCAAGTCACTGCCACGATAGTCGTGGGGAAAAATTATTCTGTTGTGTATTGCAATATTTTGTGCACAAAATTAAATCACTACAGTAGAGCAATGTATTGCATTATTTAATTAAGTTTATAATTCTCTATTATGTCTGTTTTTTCTTACTGTAGTATATTGTATTTTAATAATCTAAGTGACGTGCTGGGAGCTCACCATTCATGTGAGAGGTCGCCTTCAGAGAATAATGATGTCTTGTCTGTAATAAGGTCCAGTGTCCTGAATGTTACTACCCTCCTAAGTTTTTGAACTTCAGTTAATGTGCAAACGAAAAATAAACGTTACATTTGAGTTTTGAGCAAAGATTTTGTAATGCCTTTGAATAATATGAGGGACGTGAATCACAATATTTTGCAGAATCAAATCTCAAAACTTAGAATGTGGCCCAAATATCGCAATACTATTGAATTGTCACATTTTTGGCAATTCCCACTCCTAGTAAACACCTAGAAAACCGGTGTTATGCATCCATATTATGAGCGTTTACTTTTGGGATTGAAGACAATGGAGACGGAGAGGAGCACTGGATCAATAAGCAGCAGAAAGCCTTCTTTACAGCCCACATACAGCTGCGATGTGACGGTCCAGCACATGGCGACAGGAGTCACTCTGGCCTTTCTGAAAAGCTTGTTCTGAAAGAAAAAAGGAAACGTTGTAACCTAAACAACACATATATATCCAAACTTAACACTATTGCTTTATATAGTGTCTACAGAGATTTGCATGGAGCATGTACATGTACATACCCATAAAGAAATGTTGTTTTTTGGCCATATTTTGGCCTCATAAGTGTTTGTGTGAAGCCATATATTGTCAAATAAATGTGTTTTCTAATTTCATATTAATCAGCTTCCCTGAGGAGATTTAAAATTTGAATTCACTGGGACTTTTTCCAATAAGTTTTCGGAGGAAGTATGAACAAGGAGTGAAATACACTGTCATTCATAATTTCTGAATTATTGCCTTAGTTGGACCCTCCAGCATCTTTCCTTGCCAATGCAGGAGGGTCTGAGGACAGTGATGATCCTAAATGTATAGACATTTGTCAATTCTTCTGGACAGTGGTCATCCCGCTCCTTATGGACCAATGGCTCCTATGTGTTATTATTGTTCGATTCTTTGATCTGTTGTTTGGTAAAGGTCCTTCAATCTCAATTGTGATTTAATGGTATATGAAAATACATGGATTTGATTTGGTCAACATTTAGTGATAATAATAATGCATTGGTTTTATATAGCGCTTTTTTGGACATTCAAAGACGCTTTACATGTCATTATTCAGTCACTCCATACACGGTGGTGAAAAACTACTACTGTAGCCACAGCTGCCCTAGGGCACATTGACAGAAGCGAAGCAACCAGTATGTACCATCGGCCCCTCCGACCACCACCAACCATTCACACACACACACACACACACACACACACACACCAGACTGATTCTAGTCAATGGGGGTGACGTGTCTTGCCCAAGCACACAACGGCAGTTTGGCACTTTACAGCCGCAGCTGCCCCACTGTGGCATCTGGTGTTCCTAAAGGTTAAGTGTCTTGCCAAGGACACAATGACAGCAGACATCAGTGGGAATCGGTGGAGAGAGTCTTGTGGTGGACTCGAACCCACAACCTTCAGGCTCAATTCTCTACCAACTGAGCCACTGTCGCCCCAGCTCAGTTGGTAGAGCATGTGGCTGGCTATGCACACTTTCAATCTCAACTGTATAAATACTCATCTGCAAAGGGCATAAGCAACACTTTGACACAACTGCACCTGTTTAAATGACACAGAGTGAAACACTAACCACAATGCTCTCTGCCTTGTGTCCTTTGAGTCCTGCGATCGCTGATGGAGGCATCTCAGGTCCAAAGTAGGATAGCTTTTTACTGACGCGGTGCGAGCTCAGTACATACCTCTTTACAATGGCACCATCCACATCTGGAAGCTCTATCAGGCTGAATGAATGGTAAACAGGATTAAATAAAGGAAATTGTATTTATAAAGCAATAATCAATACACATATTCACCGTGGTTTGAGAACATGGACTCTACGATTCCTCTCAATGTTCCAAACAATGAGGGAGGCTTCATCCATGGCACACATTTGGAGCCAGTTCCAGGGGTTGAACACTAAAGTATTGTATGTAATGTTCCCACCATGTTCTTGTTGACAAAGTGGTGTTGCACTTTCCCAATTCCTGTTAAAACACATCCAAACAAACGTAGAACCGTTGATATTTGAAAAGTGAAAGCATTCAATGAATTTACGAAGTCGACTGATACTGTAGGACTGGTGGGACTATTACCAGACAGTTATGATGAAGTCTGGAAGAGACGAGCAGCTCACGAGGTATGGGCCATCGTTGCCTAAATCCAAAGTGATGAAATCTAGCTTGGATGTTCCTGCAACGGGAGTGTTGATTTTAGACAAAAGATATAGTTAGACTATGAGTTAGACACTAGATAGAATGCAAATATTTTATCAAGCGATCCTATATCGGTCACACAGTGGGGAAATGTCAGTGTTGCATCACAGGTCACAGAACAGCAGGAATGAGGAGCACACAACAAATGATAAATGAATATTAAATATAGACTTTGTCTCTCGCTTTATTAAGCTGAAGAGACAAAGTTAGCTAATTATGAAAAAGTATACACCTATAAAGGTATAAACTGGTGTACTGTAGGGCGAAGAAATATATACTTGCATGTATACATATCTCTACGTCTAGTGCAACAATATTTAAGTAATAAGTCATTAGCTCTTTGGATTGTTCACGGGGATGATACTATTGTAAATGTTAGCAGCTTGTGGGTGTGATACTACTGTACATGTTAGCAGCATGTGGGTGTGATACTACTGTACATGTTAGCAGCATGTGGGTGTGATACTCAAACTAGTAATAATACAAAAAATAATAATACAAAATGTACATTATAAGGCTGTTTTTGTTGTATGTGAATTGACAGGAACATACAGTTAAATCTTGAAATCACAAAGGCATTGTGTGATTCAGTGAAACAGTCTTCAACCGTTGAAATTAGCAACGGTAATGCCATGTTGAGAAAACGGTTAATCCTGGAACCATATTTGACAGCTTTTTAACGTTTTACTACAAGGACATTTGTTTACAGTGTATACCTATCTCACCTTTAAGTTCACTCTTTAATTCTAATGTAGGATGACTGTGCACAAATATAGACTGGTTCAGGCCACGGGGAGAAAATGCAAATATTCCACTGTTTCCATTTGCGGTGAATGCACTCACGCCTCTGCCCGGGCCCCGGAGGGAAGTTTGTTGTCTCGTATTTAAATCAAAAAAGTAAATGAAATTCCCACAGGGGAATCCAATGGTATTTTTGTCCACAAACCGAACGTCTTTATTAGTGAACCCTTGTATCCACCTGCAAACAAACAAACACCGTGAGCTAGCTTAGCTACAATATATATACATTTAAGGCAGTTAATTTAAACAAGTGGGTAATGTGTCATGCTATTCACCTGACATCCATACAATCTGAAACATCCATTTGGTTGAGTGGAAGAGAACTTTAATAAAACGTTATGAGGCGGAATGGGACGTTAGCATGTTACCAAGGCAACAGGACAACAGGACACGCCTCCAAAAACAAAAACGTTACTCCGTACTTCTATGACAAACTCTCTAGAAACGAAATACTTGCAAGACGAAACAGTTATAACAGATTGCACATACGTCTTGTTACAATGATAACGATATTAATAATATTAAAGTCTACAATGTACAGCAGCCTGGGACCTGTCTGTCTAATCCATAGACTAATCTCATCCATAGACTGTAAATATTGGCATACTGTCACGTCAGGAACACTCATGGATCTATTATGGAACACTGTGTCCGAGATGACGTCAGCCGTCTCTCTCCGTCCACGCCTTCATCCTCTGCTCTGTCAGAAATCCAGGTGATCCAGGTGAAACACGCCTTACAGTCTTTGGTTATAATAGTTAGAGCACACCCTGCACACCACACACGCCGCTCTGAAGAGGCTCATTCATTATAGAAACTGCTCTTAAAACGTCTGCTTCTGTCACTTACAGACACTTCTATTTTCTTTTCCAATAATTGCATGTTCTGTATCACCACCAGACACTGATATGGATAAGTGTTTCGCTAATGGTAAGCTCCAGCTTTTATGTTGAATTTTTAGTTGAATGGAAACAATGTGTGGGTACAATGTTTTTGTTGTTGTTTTTCACTTTTCAACGTTTCCTCAGGTGTAGTCTATGGGTGAAGCTAATGTGAATTTAGATGCACTTTTCTTTCCATCTATCTCACATTGTCTCTTTTTTTGCCAAGTCATGGTCATTGTGTTGAGAACCTGTTGGATATGTTGAAACAGGGCTGTACTGTGCATACATAATTGAGCAACGCCACGCTGTGGTTCTTTGCCTGAAGTGCAGTCATACTTCATATGATGAAATAATATGAGACACAGTCAAGGAATGAAATTATGTGTTTCATCTTTTCTAGGAAGTGCAGCCCCAGGCCCAGTGCCCAAAGGCCACATTAGACTGTTCAGCATGAGATTCTGCCCATATGCCCAAAGGGCCAGACTCGTGCTCCACGCCAAAGGGATCAAGTAAGATAGTTTGAGGTATTTTCTTTGTATATTAGATTGAATCATTCATTGTTTCCTCAGGCACGAAATCATTAACATCCACTTGAAGGACAAACCGGACTGGTTTCTGGAGAAGAACCCTCTTGGACTTGTCCCGACTCTGGAGACAGAAGCTGGGGAGGTGCTGTACGAGTCGCCCATCACATGTGACTATCTAGATGAGGTGTACCCACAGAACAAGCTTCTCCCACAAAGTCCCTTTGAGAAGGCTCAGCAGAAGATGATGTTGGAGCATTACAACAAGGTACATGTGAAGCTGTGAATTGCATCATTTGTAATGATGTTTTCATTATTTTTCTAATTATTTACAACAGGAAATGCATGTATGCCTTATTAAATAAAATGTTAACATGTAATATTTCAACAGGTTGTACCCCATTTCTACAAAGTTGTGATGGCAAAGGAGAATGATGACAAAGCTGCACTGGTCGCTGAACTGAAAGAAAAGTTAGTGAAACTGAACGAGGTATGAAGTACATGTTTACACATTTGAAAGCCACTACAGAGACACTGGAACACAGTTACAGCGTTGGGTATTTTTGTCCAGAAACTGGGCACAAAGAAGTCTGTATTCTTTGGAGGGAATTCCATCACAATGATTGATTATATGATGTGGCCGTGGTTTGAAAGACTTGAGGCTTATGGGGTCATAGAGTAAGTTTTATTATCTTTTAATATCATCATTATTATCATTAATAATAATATTTTCACATTGAGACATGAGTCTGATTTTTGTCCTTCCCTTTCCCAGCCTGCTGAACAGCACTCCTGAACTAAAGCACTGGTACGACTGTATGAGCAAAGACCCTTCTGTCATCGCCTGCTCACACAGCACTGACAGCCACAAGGCTTTTTTCAAATCTGTTTTTACCGATGGAAAACCCAACTATGACTATGGCTTGTAAACAATGTGCTGTACTTTGAGATATGTTTATTCACGTTTTTACATGACGCTTTGCTTTCTTTTAGTTTAAACCAACCGAATAAAAATATATGGTATCAGAATATAAAAAGTGAACATACTAAAAACACATAATTTTAAATCTGGTCAATGAGAGGGTGTGACTTTGGAGGGATTCTTCAGAACCAAATAATGTAAGTAACATGAAATCAAAGGCTAGGAAATTTCTTTGGCTCTCGGTGTAAACAAGTCAAAGGTAGAGAATAGATTGAGACATAATAAAAATCTACATACATTTCTAAAATAAAAAGAATAAAAATATAATTCTTCGGTGTCAACTTGTGATTCATTTTGAGGTCTATTTCCCATTCAGAAAATACATTAGTTGTCATTACTCTCTGTCATTAAAATAGCGGGTATTATCTTGTCTGTAAAAAATATTAGTTAACAGAGTAATTACATATATATAAAATATAAATTACATAGCTCCATGGGGTCGAAGCATAGACTGTATGGTCGAAGTAGGAAGAATCTGCGCTCATGCCTCCCATTGGCTACTTTAATGATGACGTCAGCCAAATAAAGGAAGTAAAACGACTCCCATAAATGTTGCAAAACCATCAACGATAACCTTTCGTTTGCATTCCCCATCTGCGCTTGACTGTATTTACTGAAAGCAATGGCCACGGAGAAGAGTTTCGCCAAAGGTAAGATCATTGTGCGGGTTACATCTAAATGATAGATTTGTAATTATATTTGTATTCAGCGGATTGGCTGATAAGATTCATGAATATAGTTATAAATACATACCAAAGTCTAACGAGTGGAACGAGTTTAGTGAAATATGGCAAGACTTTGCCCGCGGTGAGACAATGGGTGAGACTCGAGGAGGCTCACATGTCTGTCGCAGTTTTCAGAAATGAAAATTCTGACATAGCCATGTTTACGATTCATTTGACGAAATAATAATTGAACAGTGGCTGTTGTGATCAATAGTCTACAGTGCATTAAACAATGTATCTATCCACTGTAGCAGATTTGAAAATCATGTGGTCAATGCAAAATCAAAGCCTGCATTGTTCTTATGCATTGCATACAATTTGCTTAATTTTCTTTCAGGGAGTGCAGCCCCAGGCCCAGTGCCCAAAGGCCACATCAGACTGTTCAGCATGAGATTCTGCCCATTTGCCCAAAGAACCAGGCTCGTGCTCAATGCCAAGGGGATCAAGTACATCATTCAATCTCATTTAGTTTATTCTTTACCCATTTAATTAAGTAATTTTTGTTTGTTTTTTTTAGGCACGAAACAATTAACATTAGCTTGAAGGACAAACCGGACTGGTTTCTGGAGAAGAACCCTCTTGGACTTGTCCCGACTCTGGAGACAGAAGCTGGGGAAGTGCTGTACGAGTCGCCCATCACATGTGACTATCTAGATGAGGTGTACCCACAGAACAAGCTGCTCCCACAAAGTCCCTTTGAGAAGGCTCAGCAGAAGATGATGTTGGAGCATTTCTCTAAGGTACATCTTAATCTAGTGCTTTAGTCATGTTTAACCAGATTAGAATCCCCCCCCCTCCCCAAGTAAAAATGTTTATTTATATAGGTAATTTTACAGACACTGGTCACCCACAGCACTTTACAATGTCCAGAGTTCAGATATATTTATTCCTCTTTTATTCCTTATTGGTAGGAATGTGATGTTAATAAGAATGAGTCTTCCCTGCTTGATGCTTCCAAGGATTATAAAAATAAAAAAAAGTCAGCTGGGTTAAATATTTTCTTTATTTTCCACAGGTTCCACCATATTTCTACAAGATTATAATGGCAAAAAAGAATGGCGAGGACATCTCTGGACTTGTTTCTGAACTGAAAGAAAAGTTTGTGAAACTTGATGAGGTGAGAAGCACATTCCTAATAATGAGTCAGCTATACAAATATTAAACATGGAAATGATGTGTGTTGTGAAGGATCTGGTTAAAAAGAATACCAAGTTCTTTGGTGGGGATTCCATCACGATGATTGATTATATGATGTGGCCGTGGTTTGAAAGACTTGAGACTAATGAACTCAAAGAGTAAGTTTTTCATCTTTATTTTTTTCAACCAAAACCAATCCTTGTTACTCAATTAGATGAATTACACAGTCCAACCTATGTGTTTTCCCTCTTTGTTTTCTGTCAAGTCTTTTGGAAAGCACTCCTGAACTAAAAAAGTGGTGTGGACGCATGCAAGAAGATCCTGCAGTCAAAGCATCGTCGTACAGCACAGACACCTACAAGGCTTTTTATAAAACCGCTTACATTGAGGGAAAACCAGACTATGACTATGGCCTTTAAACTCTGGTCTACCACAAACCCGTCCAGTGCCCGGTGTTCAGGTGGTCGTACCGGCAACACATTCAGTTTGCATATGATTTGTAGAGAGTTGGGTTCCAGGCTCTTATAATTGTCTGTTGGGTCTCCTTTCTCCCCTCATTTCAAGCTATGCTGTTCTGTCCAATAAAGCCAAAACACATTTGATAACAATGTTTATTTCTATACTTGTTTTTCTGCCATTTTGAATAAAAAGTAAAACACTGACCTAAGTCTTTCCTCTCTTTAATGCCATTAGGGTGGAGACGTAAAAACAGTGTCCCGCCAAAAACATGACATCACAAAGGAACCTAGTGGTAGCTGCCAATAGCATGTCAAACAGAAAGCACATTCACTTATTATGACCAGCATAACATGGTACTATGCAAGTTTTAGTTTCAGCATAAGACTCAACCAAGTATTGTAAATAAATACTTAACAAGTATATCATAATGTTTCTAGTAAAAACTTAAAAACATAAGTATTTTAAATTCATAATATTTCATTCAGCCTGAGGTGCATGACCCCATTTGTCATGGTCGGTGCATATTCTTGCAGAAGCGCAGGTGCATTCTTCAACATCTCTTGAAAATGTGTCCGAGTGCTCTCATAAAGCTTTCTGTCCAGTACCAGAGAGCGAAACAGGTTCACGGGATCTGCTTTCAAAAACACAGCAGGAATCTCAAGTTCTTTGGGAATTTTACGGTTTCCAAACACCGCGTGAGTGAGTTTTTTCTCCTCTAGGCTTTTTTGCACGAAATCGAGCACATCCCGAAGTCTTTGGTCGATGCGGTCAATAGTCCAGGCGTGAGGCCGTTTGTTTGTCAGCAGGTGAAATAAAGCGGTTTTGAAGTGATAGCCGGTCAGAGCGCTCTTCCCCGTCAGGCCGGTTTGCTTGTGATGAAGAAAGGTAACAATTTGAAGACATTGCAAATGGCAGGAATTCAGTGGTAGTAGCTTGGTATAATATTTCAGTAACTTTTTCTCATACACAGCAAAAGAAAGTGGCCAGTAAGGGTCCTCCGGGATATTATCACAATTTGATGGAAAGTGGGTGACAAAATAAGCATCACTATTTTCAAATCGCACTGCCGGAGTGAGATTAAGGATGATGGCTTTGCCTGATGGGAGTCGGATTTTGAAGGCACCAGCAGAGTCCAGATAGCGGAAAGTCAGATCGAAGTCGTATTTGTGACTGATGCGACTCCATGATTTGGTTATGGAGATTTGAAACCACTTTATGACTTGGTGTTTGGAGAGAAAATGCGTATTTTTGGAGCATAGGAGTTGATCTGGGCTACGTTCTGTTTTAAAGTTGTTATTGCTGGGATGCAGGAGGCAAATCAAGTCTTCTCCGAGGTTTGCCGAGCCACAGAGGCAGCTTTCGTTGCTAAATCTGGGAACTTTGATAGAGCCGCTCCCTTGCATGTTTGGGGGGATGTCTGATAAGCAAAACTGGTAGAAGTAAGGATCGGGAGGCGTGAATGGTACGATAAGATCACACGACAGCGGCTTACACATTTGCCAGGATTCAAACATGCTGCCAATGCCGTCAAAGTCCCCAACTTCCATGTCTGCCCCTGTGTCGCAAATACCTCGATGTGCTCGGAGTAACTCATCTACAAAGCCTTCGACAAACTCCTTAAGGCTGCCATTTTCACGGGCAAAAGTGCATCTATCGGAGAAGTTTCGTAAAATGTCTTTGCTTAGTACCACCGCTTTTGGCCATGTCGCTTCACTTTCATTTTCGTCTTCTAAAGGAACAATTTCCGAGTCAGAAAAGGTCCCTCGGCATAGCTCGATAGTTAGAAATATTAAAAATGACAGTGCGCTCCAGAAATACCAGCTATAGTCTAATTCAGTGTGAGTTTCTTGCTTGAGATCCTGTTGGGAAATCTCCTTTTCTAATTTAGCTTGTTCTTTGGCGAGTCGCTCTTCGTGGTCCCGCATTCGAGTCAGGAGTTGGTCATCCTGGTCTGGGAAGGTGGTGTTCTCGTGAGGGTAGAGGAGAGGGTTGAAGATGGCAGCGGCCACCACCACACACAGTCGGGCCAAAGCTCCCTGCATGGTCTGCTGAAGGGATATCTTCTTTATCCCAGAAGGCGTTCATGCCACTTCTACTTGTCCATAAAGCTGCACACAACCTGAAAGTAAAAATAAAAGTCATCTTAATATTGAACAAAACTAAATCTGATAAAATCACACGCTGAAATGTTGAAGATACATGGTTGCCTATTCATGCATCTTCAGTCCAGTTCATGCATATGTATTTAGCAGGGCAGACCAATATGCAAAAGTGTGCTACAATCGTATTGGAGACACAGGACGAGTATGCTTTCCATTTTAACATATATGACAGTGTTAGTGTTAGATTCAGATTCCGTTTATTTGTCATTTGTACTAAAAACACATTGGAATACATATTTAAATATTACCGCAGTGGGCACCAGACAAATACATAAATAAAGATAAAAAGTGGTAACATTGTTTATTATTGCTCTGGTTGTAAGTTATATAATATTCTGAAAAGTGTTCGTTTTCCAAATATCCTGCACTTTTCAGCAGAGTCCCTCTAAATATAGCGTCAGTGGGTTGAATGACGCACTTCATCACTATCAGCAGTGTTTCCCACACATAGACTAATCTGTGGCGCACCGCCACAGATTAGAGACCGCCCGCCACAAATTGCGTTTCGTATTATTATATATATGTAATGACCGGAGGGGCAGATTTACTAATTTGACTCAAAAGGTTACTTCCAACAACGCCACCCTGGAATAGAGTAGTGCCAGGGACACTTAAACACATAAGGCTCGCGCAAATAAGGGATAGAGTGGACCAGTAGACCAAAAATATAGAAAATGTACAAAGTTTATTTATAAATATAGAAAAGTAAAAGCAAAAGGTGCATCAATACATTTAACAAAGCTCAGTAAGCAGCTCACTGAAACTGATTAAAAATACCCATTTGACACAATAATTGTTACAAGTATATCCTCAACACGGCAGCCCCACAATGTTCATGTGCCCGAAGGCCCTACCCGATGGTGCGCGCGGATCCACCGCGCAATTGAGCTACAGTCTTTAGCCACAGGATGAACCGGTGGTTGCTGCTGTTCTTGAAGACAAATGGGAAACGTGGAGGGACAACGCAAATGGGGTTCGAAGGGGGAGGAGGAGAGACCCGCGAGGTTTCCAGTCCTAAACATGAAATTTGGGGAATTAATATCCTGTAGGAATGTTCAGAGCCATACGCAGCACAAGAGGGCAAAGCACAGAAATACCTACCAACGCGTAAACAGTGCGCCACGCTCACAGATGGCAATCAAAAAGGTAGCTATATCCCGAGTGCCACGCTATGAAAAATATAAAAAATGAGCTAATATATATACATTTGATTTCGTTTTAAGAGTTAGAATGCTTACCAGAAGTTTCTTTTAAACAAGGCACCGCACGAGAGGGGAATTACCCTACTTTAGCTCGTGCGTAAAAGTCACTTGACGCCCCGTACTAGAGACAGCGGAAAATTAGAGGACGTTTATACAAAATCATAATTTAGAGACGAGGTGGCTTACCGAAGCTTTTGCGTATGCAGAGCATGTAGCATGGGCCGCAGATGTAAACAAATGGAGCGGAGCCTTGTGCGCGTGCCATGCGCCACAGCAGGCAACGATAGTCAAGACGCGCTCTAGATCAAAGTATCAAAACAATGTTGTTATCTTAAAACTGTGCCACTAATGATCGTGGGACAAGGCTCCACTCCTCGTGCTCCGTGCTCAGCTCCAAAACGGCGGGTGACGTCAGAGGCGACCAAGAGGGGCGGCAGGAGGGAATCCTTCCTTTTAAAGGGGTCAAGTGGCACTTAATAGGCTGCCGGTGGATACGAGGGCCTACCGCCACATTCTACCCCTCCTCCTTGCATCGTCGCCCCGACGATGACTTGACAACTTGGTCCACAAAAGTCAATGACTACTCAAATTTTAGGTGCCCAATGCTGACCGTGGCAGATTATGAGGGTTTGGGTGGCGACCAGCGGTGGGTGCGCATTGTTCGACGCATGCTACAATTTCCAACATTAACTGGTGAAGATTGCCCTGAGCTCCCTGCGGGTGTTCCCAAGAGAGGTACCTCGAACCCAGGGGAGACAGGATTGGTAACCGGTTGACCTCCAAAAGTTTGGTCGGGAAACAAAGGTTGCGGGGTTTCGGAAACAACCCACAAGTCTAAATCACAAGAATCCTCCTCTACGACACAGTGAGTAGCCCCTAGTTGGCCATCACCTTGACTCGCTTCAGGTGGGCCACCCCCAACCAAGACCTTTAACAAAGACCGATGGACTGTCTTGACTCTAGTGTGGTCATGGACAGGGGCAATGGTGTACACGGCTCCTCCGTCGTGAACTTTCAAGACAACATAAGGTGAGGAAACCCACATGTCCTGTGTTTTACGGCGGCCTCTAACACCCGTATTTCGCAACAAAACCTTCTCGCCTGCCTTCAAGAATTGATCACGGATGTTTTGATCATGTAAAGCCTTCCTGTGTCCTGCAGCTGTTCTCAAGTGTTCTTTGGCCCCTTCAAAAGCAAGCTGCAGCCGGGTCTGGTGTTCCAAGATCCACTCGTGATGATCCCCCGCAACAGGACAATCTATCTGGCCAAGCAAGAAGTCGACCGGGAGCCTAGGATCCTGGCCGAACATCAAGAAAAATGGGGATACCCCAGTGGACGGGTGAGGTGTGGTGTTATAAGCGTAGAGGATTTGGGGCAGGCAAGAGCACCAATCTCGTTTGCGGGATGTGGGCAAAGTGCGAAGCAAGTTGTGTAGAGTGCGATTAAATCGCTCACACTGCCCATTCCCGGCAGGATGGTAGGGTGTAGTCCTTGATTTCGCAATGTTGTAAAGATTGCACAGCTGTTGCATCAACGAGTTCTCAAAACTGCGTCCCTGATCAGAATGAATCCTTGCTGGCACACCAAACTTTGAAAACCACTCTGAAACCAAGATTTTTGCCACAGTCAATGCACGCTGGTCGCGAGTTGGGAAAGCCTGTGTATATTTGCTAAACACATCAGTGACGACCAGCACATTTTCAAATCCCCCCGATGATGGTTCTAGCAGCGTAAAATCCAAGGCAATGATTTCATTAGGCCGTGATGCCAAAAGGTGACCCATAGGAGCCCGAGCTAGGGGCCTGGTGTCTTTAGCCACCTGACAGCGTAGACATTGTTGACACCACTCACGCACTGCCTTCGACATACTAGGCCAGTAGCACCGTGCCCACAAAAGCGCCAGCGTCCTCTCGATGCCTTGATGACCATGTTCGTTATGTAGTTGAGTCAAGACCTCCTCGATCATAGCAGCAGGCAAAAGGAGTTGAAACACAGCCTCACCGCCGTCAGCACGAAAGACTTTACGATACAACAAAGAGTCCCGTTCGACCAGCCTGTCCCACTGGCGAAGCAATACCATTGCCGAGGGAGACAAGCGTTTTCGCTCCTCAGGGTTCGGTTTTTGCCTTTGCCTCCAGAAGACTGCTACTTCCTGAATAACAGGATCTAAATCCTGAAGGGCCCGGATGCCTACGGAGGAGTGACCCGGCAAAGCAGACACGACGGCCTGTGTTACTTCAATTAATGGTGGGGGGAGAACTTGCTGCAAAGAATCGGGCACGATGGTACCTGGAGCAAAAGCGCCCAGGTGGGAGGGACCGCAGTCCCGTTGACGAGACAAGGCATCTGCGTTGCGGTTGCTCCGACCTGATCTATACCGTATCTCGAAATTAAAACATGCAAGTTGCGCCGCCCAGCGCTGCTCGACAGCTCCAAGGTTTGCAGTGGAAAGGTAACTCAGAGGATTATTATCCGTGAACACAACGCACCTATGTCCCAAAAGGTATTCTCTAAACTTCTCGGTCATAGCCCACTTTAGGCCAAGGAGTTCAAGTTTCATTGAGCTATAGTTGGACATGTTCCGTTCTGTGGCTCGTAGCCCCCGACTGGCATATGCTACGGGCCTCACCTTACCACCTTGCTCCTGGGAAAGAACCGCACCCAAGCCACAGTGGCTTGCATCCACTTCCAGAATGAAGGGTAATGTAAAATCAGCATACGCCAGTACTGGCGCGCTGGTAAGCCGCTCCTTCAAGCCATCAAAGCTACTCTGACACTCTTGGTCCCATTTCTCCATGCTGCGCTTAACTAACCTCCCTTTAGACTTGCCAGACAACTCTGCCACTTTGCGATGTAGTGGGGCAGCGAGCTTAGCGAACCCCTCCACAAATCTGCGATAATAACTCGCAAAGCCGATAAAGGACCGTAGCTCGGGCACAGTGGTGGGCACGGGCCAATCGGCGACGGCCTGAATCTTACCAGGGTCCGTGGCCACCCCTCTATCCGAGATGACGTGTCCCAAATAGTGCACCTCACGCTGAAAGAAACTGCATTTGTTCAATTTAACCTTAAGGCCTTCGGAGTGGAGACGGCTCAATACCCCACCTAACCTCTCTAGATGCTGGTCCGAGTTGGAAGAAAATACTATGATATCATCCAGATACAAAAGCAATGATTGACCTTGCTGACTACCAAAGATTCTTTGCATCAACCGTTGGAATGTACTTGGTGCGTTGCAAAGGCCGAACGGCATCCTATTCCACTCGAACAAACCGAAGGGCGTGCAGAAAGCAGTTTTCGGACGATCCTTCTCAGAGACTGGAACCTGATTGTAACCGCTGGCAAGATCTAAGGTTGAAAACCAACAAGCCCCGGTGAGAGAATCAAGAGATTCCTCTATGCGTGGAAGCGGGAATGCATCCTTCCTGGTTACGGAGTTCAACTTACGGTAATCGACACAAAGCCGTAAAGTGCCATCCTTCTTTCGGACAAGCACTATCGGCGAAGCGTATGGACTCGAACTCTCACGAATGACTTGCGCCTCCAGCAGTTGGTTAATATGATCTTTCACAACCTCATATTCGGCGGGTGGAATACGCCGATGTCTTTGTCTGATGGGAACATCGTCAATCAAAGGGATATCATGGGATATCAAGTTCGTACAGCCAAGGTCTTGAT